CAAAGGCTGTGTCATTCTGTGTCCCATCTAATACATAGATCTTCTCTGTCGGCCCCATTGGATCCTTGGTCCATAGACCAGCCGGGCCACCAAACCGCTTCAGGATCTTCATTGATCTCACCTGAGAGATGGTGTAGCCACAGTCTGTTGGGGATGGAGAAGAGCACAGGACAAGCAATACACACATGAGTTAGATGCCCGCTGCGGGAAACCCCCAGAGTGGGCCGCCTTGAGGATGGCTGCCGGTGGACACCTCCACTCATACAGAGGATAGGGAAAAGGGTGCCCCAGAGGTCTGGGTCCCCAGAAATGCTCGCAATGGACCTGTCATTATAGAGTCCCCTAAAGCAGATTCCAGATCACACCAAAGTGGCCTCTGAACCAGGAGAAAAACAGGGAAAAGCCAAGGCAGAATACATATCCTGAGAGTGTTAGGCCTCTGCTTACCTGTCAGCATATCATACTTCTCATTTCTTCTGCCCTTGCCTTTGATCCCAGGGCCTCCGGTCACCTTCTCATCAACTTCCACACAGGGTAGAGCTGGGTTCTGGGTCTCCAGATAGTCAACCTCCCGCTCCAGACGGTCCACTCTCCCCGAAATGCTGTCAGCCTCGGTCCTGAGGGCCTCGCGCTCCTTCTCGGCCACCTCCAGCAGCGGCAGCATCTTGTTTTTGAAATCTCTCAGCTCAGCGGCATGCCGGCTACTTTGGTCCTGGCACTGGGCCAGCCGTTCCTGCAGGGATGGGGGCCAGGAGAGGGGCTGAAGGGTTACCACTCCCAGGCAGGGAGAGGCCCAACCAGGGAGTGAGGAACAGGAAAAAGCACAAACTTGGCCAGAGATCAACTCCCCTACAACCCCCCACTGAAGGGAAACCAGATGTTCAGAGATGCCAAATGTGCAAAAAACCCAGCTGCGATCACCTAGGCCTCTACCCCCACTTCATGTCCTCAGAGCCACTGCGGGTGGCCTAAGTACATGAGGGCAGTAAGGGGTCTCGGCTCCCCTGTACTGTTCTCCTCTTGGGAATGAACAGATTTCAACTCGGGAATGCCACAGACTTCAAACTGTTAAAAAGACACAAAGCTGCAGATTCTCTGGGAACTTCCAACTCTCACAGAATCATCAGCTGCCCCTGAGATGCTGTCCTGCCATGCTAGCTCTCATGTCCGAGTCCTCAGTCCCCTTATCCCACGCAATCTCAGGGTAAAACACAAAGGCCTGTTTGCTTTGGAATCGCTCTGTCGTTGCGGGGGAAGGAGGAGGGCTTGCACTTGTAAGGATACTCTTAATAAGAGTTTTCTGTATGTCCTCACAGAGCCCTGTCTTGCCATGTCCCCAGATCCCTGACACACTGGGTGAATCAGCAAGAGATGGGAAGTCCTTCCCGCCTGGCCCAGGAGAGAAAGGAGTCACTCACCTCTAAGGCAGCTAGTCGGCGTTCCATGTACTCCACAAGGTGGTGCTGCTGTCCTTGAAGGGGTTGCAGCCATGACAAAAGGAACAAGGTGACAAGAGGCGTGCGGGGCCCCATGGCAGCAGGAGAACGGGGCTGGAGTAGGAGTGTGAGGTCCTGTGCCTTTTCCACTCAAGCCCGCTGCTTAGCTTTGGAGGCGGGGTGGGGGCGGTGCTTTCTCTCTTTCTGGATCTTGGGTCTCTCTCACTCACTACTCTGGAATGCTTTCACAGTCTCCATACAGCCCCCACCCGCTCCTTTCTGCCTGGACTGATCAAACACAGATGGCCCTATGGCAGAGCAGCCAGAAGCCTTAACCGCCTCCCGCCTAGGATGCAGGCTCCCCGGGAGAGGGGAAGAAGATGAAACCCCGGGCAGAGGCCTTCTGGGCAGTCACCCAGAAAAAGGAGCTGGCAGCAGGAGGGAGGGGCCCCAGAGTACACTCAGCAAACTCTATTCCTGTTTTAGGAGAATGCATGCTTCCTTCCAGTCAGTGCTGGCTTCTTAAGAAACATCCATCATTAATCTTTTTCTTTCCCAGCAATAATAGCATGAATTGTTTTCTGCCTTGTTGAGTGGAAGCTGGAAGCAGGAGAGATGAGGTTTGAGGGGAAGAGGTGGGAGAAAAGATCAGAGGTCCCAGCTACACTACCATCTTCTATAGCTCACTGGCGCCATCTTGTGATAGGCACCTGGTGTCATCTCAGGATTCACAGGGAAACCAAGGCTTAGACCACACGTCCCGTGGAAAATTTTCCACAAAGTGAGCCAAGCAGATTGAGTTTACAGGGGTTTTCATCATTAAAACACAGATTTCCCCACAGACTTACCCAACTACTTAAGGGGCTATCCCAATCTCTCTCTGATTTAGCCTAAGGAAGAGAATATAACAGATTTAAAAACAAACAAAAACAAACCCAGATCACTGACAATTTAAATTAATTCTTGATTACCTGGAAGTGAGATTGATGGCAGAGCCTTTCTACTTGGCTTTCTCTTGCCTGAATGCTTCTAGGTATATTCTCTTACCAAAACTGGGGAATGTTCAGTGAGTCCACCCTCGTTTCATGTCCACTTATTTAGGAAAAAAAAAATGGAAAAATATAATGTGTTGCAGTCTAAATCAAAATACATATGTTCTGACTTCCCTACCAATGGGAGAGAAGAGCTTATTGATCATTTCTCTTGGTTATGGTCCAAAAGTGTTTCTAAATGTGTCTCATCTCTATATCCCAACCATGACTGCAGAACCCCACAATGAATTAATGACCATTGTAGGGTAGATGTGTCCTGAAACATGTGTCAAAAAAAAAGCCAAGTGAGTATAGAGTTTATTCAGAGACCTGCAGTGATTGATCTAGACAAATCTCTATTTCTTTATCAGGAGAAATTTTCTTCACTTTAGAATCAAGAGAAATCTAATCAGAGGGGCTCCTTCTCCAAAAGGACTTCTAACAATGCAGCTTGAAAGGTGGAAAAAATAGCGTCTTCTGTGGAGGTTCTGATTTTCATTACGATACTTCAGATGGTTGGTGGAATGTGCTAGGAAACAAAGTTTAGTTATCCTGGGTCAGAAGTTCTATCTCTTTCAGAGGGCCAGGACCAGATGATCTTCAGTTAGGGCCCAGACACTCCATTCTTGGGCAGTGTTTTCTACCAACTCCGATTCATTTCCATTGTGGATATTTGTATGAAAGATGGATTTGCCCCTAAGCTGCCACTGATGTTCAGATGTGATGTACTTAGCCACTCCAAAGATGCCATTTTTTGGTCCCCTTTGCACCCCTCTAACAGAAGTCAAGAACAGCCACATGAATCAGAAAATTTACCCATTTTATTGATGCATTGCAATTGCTCTACATTTTACCATATTATGTAGAAAATACTGAAAATACAAGCTACTTTGTAAAACCAAAGACAAACATTGAATCCAAAGATAAACTATGTTTTACACAATGGACCCTTTTCCCGTAGTTAGTATTAAATTTTAAATATCTATTTCTTTTGTTAAAATGATTATTTTACATACTCCCTAAGTACATCTGCATTACAAACATAGCTCAATAATTCTCAGAAACTGTTTCTAGAGGCTTGTTGTAAAAGGAAGCGCACAACCAGAAAAGGGAGAAAGCAAAAAAAGTTTAAATCGCACACAATAACTAGCATATCAAATACATTTAATAAAGTTGGAATTCCATTGCAATATCAAGGATTCAAAGCAGAAATACTAACATTACATATAATGTACATATAATGTACTGCTACATGTAGTGAGATTATTTTTCAAGCTGAATCAAAACCACACATTATATAAAGTTTAGCGACAAACAACCATGTGGACATGCTGCACCATCCATCAGTTTAAAAAAAAAAAAACCAAAACCCAAAATAGGAAGCAGGCTTGGGCCATTCCTGTCACTGAGAGGCATTTCATTTCCTATCCTAAAACAAACCAACCTAACCAGTGGGTTTTTGCAGAATAATGCTGAATAAAACACACATTACTGTGTTTGCCTGGCTCAGGGCAATCAAGCTGAGCCCCTCTAGTGGAGGAGGATGGATGGCCAGAACTGTGTGAAATGGAGTTCTTATTTCTGGGGCTGGTATCTGAGCTGAGCACTGACGCCAGTGTCCCCTCCCGGGAGCTATTAAAACTCTGGAGTGATCAAGTGTCCCGATGAGCCCAGAGTGGCTGTACTTAAGCCTTCCCCACTTTCTCTCTCACCCTGAAGGGGAGAAGCTGGAAGCACAAGTTCTGAAAGGACGTAAAGCCTGAAGCTGGCCTGAGGTTAGGCCACCATGACCAGGTACCAGCCGCTCACTGAATTCACAGGGCTTCCCCCCATCCTGTCAGGGCTGGCAATGTGAAGCGCCAGGGACAGATTCTAAAGCCACATTGAGCACTGTATTCAGCAGACACAGATGGATTTTTATCTTGGTAAATTTGAAATGTCAATTTGCAGGTTAAGGCTGAAAATTTCGAAAATTCTTAAAGCCACAACTGCTAGTACGGATGTTTCAGATAACAATACACACTCTGGGTATTGTCTTTTCCCCATGAAGTTAGTTAAGACTTGCACCTTAAGTGGTATCTACTTATTGGATGGGGGGGCAGGAGTGGAATGTTTTGTATCCCCCCCCATATTTCATTTGTTACAAAAACAACAAATCTTTTATCCCTTGTAGAGGAAAGATAAGGAATAAAAAATGTTTCTACTAGAAACTAGGTCTGCCTTTGAACAAGAAAATAAAAATACGTTTGGTAAAAAAGGAAACACAAAGATCACACATATTGACCAGAAAAATGTGTAACATTAGTGATGGAAACTATACGAGCTGCTTGGGTATCTTCACCAATACAGCGGTGCAAACACAACTCAGGAGAATGACCACAAGAAGAAATAAAGAAAGAAAGAAAAGAAAAGAAAAGTAAAGTGAAGAAAAGAAAAGAAAGAAAAGAAAAGGAAAGAAAAGAAAAAAAGAAAGAAAGAAAGGAGAGAAGAAAGGAAAAGAGAAAAGAAAAGGAAAAAAAAAAAAAGAAAAAGAAAAAAGAAGTAAGAAAAGAAAAGAGAAAAAGCAGAAAACACCAACATGTTCCTGGTAGGCTGTACTGACTATCTGCCCCATCGTGGAAGCCCTTACTCTTTACAATGAAGAAACAAACTCCAAATACCTTGACAGCTCCTCGGTGTTCAACCCAGCACAGAGCTTGCTGACCAGGCTCCATGAAATCTCCCATCTCCATCCTGCACCTCCTTGACGCCATCTCTACAAAGAACCAGTCCTAGACTTAGCCCTCAAGTACATAATTTTCAATTCAGATGGAACACTTCTCTATCTTAGAGTTAACCTTCTTCCCCCAAATCTTTTATGGGCAGGAACATCCCCATCCCCAGTACCCTCCACTTGACCCAGATCCATGCAGGAGCTGAGAGTACAAGGACAATTTCACAGCCCCAAGAATATTCAAGCTGTTAAAAAGAAACGTCAAAAGCCCGATGACTCAACAGGCTTTGGTTCCTTTTTAATACTCTTCACCGGCTCAGAAACCTTCCTGTGAGTTCCCTGTCACCAGCGGCATCACAAAACTCCTCCTCATAGTATGGGGACATGGTAAGCAATACAACAGGCTCTTTGGTATAAACAGATCTGTTATATGTTTTTTTCCAACAAGCAAATACTTTACTAGGAATGGCAACTATTTGCAGGAAGGACTGCCACATGGGAAAAGGAAAAGAAAAATCTCATTCTAAAAGTGATTGCACATACTTTAAAGAAAAAGAAAACCACCATATATTTCATATTGGCTTGACTCCTCTCACCTGCTTCCCAAATTCTCACAGAAGCAAGGTAGCAATGCACCGTGAGAGAGCCACGTGGGGAAAATGCTTCTGTGAGAACTCAGCTGAGATTCCAGACTGGAAAGGGGTAGACGTGGTGCTAAAGGAGAAAAGCTGCTGTTTTTATTTTTCAACGTCAGCAGGGAAACTGACAACAATGCATTTACACGACACAGTTACTAATCCTGTTCTGATAAATCCCAGTGAACAGCTTAGGGTCCACAAGGGCTTGCTGGTCCATCCTAAGGCAAGCTCACTGTAAACTCTATGAACCACTACATTATCATATAAGGCACTACAATAAGGGAAGGAGGAGAAAGGGAAGAAGAGACACACACTGAACAACTCCTCACCAGACACACCTGTGCAAAACAATTCCAAGGGTCTCCTCTCCTTGCAGGCAATGCCCCTGCTCATTCAACACTACAGTAATATGCTCTAATATAATTGCAATTAGTTCACATACATTCCAACAAGTATCAGTTCATTTTGGTTTAAATACAATGGAGACATCCATTCCATCTCCGGGGTAACACTGGAGGATCAGATACACACTAAATACACAATTCAAGTGTAATCACTACACATTTGATTACAAATAACATTTTGGGTTAGCAGGAAAAATTGCTTGTTATATTTTTCTAATCAATATGTACATATTTAATTATGCAAAATATTAAAACACCACCATTACAAAACTTCTAAAATATTTTTAAATTCAGTAATAAATTTTTAAAATATTTTTTGCAATTCCTACATGCACTTATTGTATAAGTCTTAATAAGAGAGCATTCAATTTGCTGCTGGCATACAAAGGAAGCTACTTTAAAGTATAAAAGCTATACACAACGTTCTTATCTGGTTTCAGATTCTTTAGCTTTCTCCCCAAATAAATCATAGAACAGAAGGGAGAGATGAGGCAAAGAGAGAGAGGTGTATTATTGAAAATTCATATTAATCTTTAGGCAAAGCTCACCAATGCCAACAACCTTTAGGCAAAGCTCATCTATACCAGTATCGCATAATACAAAGAGATTTTGCATATAATAAGACAACCACCACCATACAATAATAACGACCTTAATGGCTTTTCCAATAATAAAATTTAAGCTGAATCAGAGAGAGAAATACTTTTAAAAAATAACTTAAGAAGAATGCATGGTACTTCATTTAAAAAGAGTAATACCTAGTGCTTTCACGGTAGGTATGGATTCTCTCACACTAAGTTACCAGCAAATGGTGAGCTGCCTTTTTAACACTACTTTACAATAAACACAGGAGCAACTGAGAGAATCCCAAGAATATTAAGGAGCAGTATATAACCAGTTTTGCAAAAATAACAATTGCCCAGTAAGTATACCATGACATGAAAACAAACTAAACACTGTAGTCTCATGTCCCATAAGGAAGGTAAAATTTTGAGAGGAGAAATGCCTGATAGTAAAATACAGACTTGTGTAAGCTGCTCTTAAAAGAGGCAATTAAGTCTTGGTTTTTAAATAAGCAAAAAGTGATGATTTTTCTTTCCTCACTTGTTACCAGATTTCAAGTCCTTCTATCAGCATTTTTCCTCTGACCAGCAATTATAATAAAACAAAGTTAAATAAAGAGGGGCTTCACTTGGTCTTAAAAACATTTATAGAAATCAAGTCAGAGAGAAAATATTTTTCAAAGGGTAACTTCAGAACGATCTCTCTTCCTTGGTAACTGCAGAAGATGGGCATCTGAACTCTTCCAAATACCAAAAATGCTGTCACAAAAATAAAGAATTAAAAAATAGGGCAGACTTTGGGAGACTACAACAATGCAGTCAACACTAAGACAGGTTCCCCAGAGAAAAACCTTCTGCTTCAGTGGGCCCCTGCAGAATAAGTTGCTGGCTAAGGAGTTTCAAGAGGGGCCTAAGGGAGGAGTTCATCATAGCCTGTTATTAAGAACTCAGGGCCAGGAACAGGCAGTCATGACCCCTCCTCCCTCTGCTCACCAACTACAAATAGGAATACTGGCTGATCTTGGTCGGACTCAATGGGTATCCAGTGTAAATTGTTGAGCCTCGGGAAGACCCAATGTAGGACTGGGTGGCAAACTGGTGTTGGTACTGAGCAGGGGCCACACTGGCAGAAGTGAGAAGGCTGGGCCCAACGCTGACAGGGACCTGGTGCACCAGAGTGCTAGGGTGGGTGCTATAGGCTGCAGCATGCCTTGAGGAGCCCTGGGGGGAGAAGAGATGAGCAATGGAGCTGGTGGAGCCCAATGCAGCAGCAGAGGTGGGGGCAGCATACGTATACAGGTGAGGCTGGCTCGGCAGGTGAGCAGGGGCTGGGGCCAGGTGTGGGTGCCCCGTCGAGTGTAGTGGGCTGCCATGCTGGAAGGCGTAGGGGGCCTGGGAGAGCGGGGCCACAAACGCCTGCTGCCTGCGGGGGGCAGGGTTGCTGCTTCTCTCCTGCGAGGTTGGAGCTGACGATGACTGCTGGTTCTGGAAGGAGGAAGAAGGGGGTGAGGAACCTTGAGGTCATTCCGGTTCAGGGACCAAAGGCCAAGTGGAGAATTGAGGTTCCAACCTGTACTGTTCCTGGGTTGCCACAGCACAGAATCTCCCAGACTGGCAATGCTGTCAGAAGTCAGACCCCATCCCTCCACCTCTTGGAAGAACAGATCCTAACCCAGCCCAGATACCAGCAGTTTGCTCTTAAGTACGACAAAGGCCACAGGGGAATCAAGAGTTCACGGGGGCGGGGGGTGGTGGTGCCTGAGTGGCTCAGTGGGTTAAACCTCTGCCTTCGGCTCAGGTCATGATCTTGGGGTCCTGGGATCGAGCCCCGCATCGAGCTCTCTGCTCAGAAGGGAGCATGCTTCCCCCTCTCCCTCTGACTGCCTCTCTGCCTACTTGTGATCTCTGTCAAATAAATAAAATAAAATCTTAAAAAAAAAAAAAGAGTTCACAGGGTTACCCACTCCTGCAAGTTAGTAACTGTTGACTCAACTCACCCTATTTTGGTGCCAGGGAATTTGAATTTTTCCTAACCTTTCTTTCTTGCCATTGTGTTCTTTTGTTCTCCTCTAAGTTCTTCATATCCCTCTTGACTTGTGGAGCCTAAAACACATGTACTAACTCGAACTGACATTTGCACTTGCGTGTGCTTTCTCTCTCTCTCTCTCTCTCTGTCACACACACACACATACACACAGTTACATCCTCATGTTTACACTTTCTTACTACTGGTAGACCTCATACAAGCACCAGAATTTTAGCTTAAGAAAGAATAAATAGTACCTCTTTTACAAGCAGAATAGTGTCTCTCCCCACCCTATCAGATCACATAGTGGTTAGGGGGGGATCTCAGACTCAAGGCAACACACAGCACTAGAACCAGTTGATGAAGTGGCCACAAAGCTTTGCACTGTCTCTTGCCTCAAGTAATCGGTGTGAGGCTCAAGGTTATTTATGACCTGGGCGATAAAGGAAGAGGACCTGGGAGCAAAGCATGTGGTGGTACAGACGCGGGCATGGACTAAAGCACCCGAGGCTCTTCCTAAATTCCAGCATTTCTCTAATCTTCCAGGACAGTTTAGGGAGGTCTGATGGAAAACCTGGAATGTGCATCCTCAACACACTTCCAGAGGGAATAAAGGGACATAGCACATGCAGACATGACACAGGCCACAGAACACTAAACGGTCTGACACAGAAGGGGCTTCATTTGGCTTTATTCAGCAGTCCAGCCAGAAGCAGGGTTCTCCAGAGAGTGACAGTAGGGAGGGCCCCAAACAGAAGGCAGCAGCCCCTAGCGCTTACCTGGCTAAGGTTGAGTGGCTGTGCTGCGCTGGTCCCCCCGCGTGGAGCTCGATACCCTGTGGGGGTGATACAGCATCCAGATGACTGCCCACTCACTGAGGCCACTGGCTTGGTCTTACTGCTCACGAGACCTAAAAAAAGGGTCAGACCATAATGAGTTATGAGTAACCTCAGCTAAACCTCAGATGGCATCATATTCATCAGGCCACATCTGAAGGAGGTTTGCAAAAGTTAAGGTTTCATGTGTATCTTATTTCCTCCTCAATTACATTTATACCAGAGGAACAAAAACTGCACAACCCATTTTTTTTCTGGCTTGCTACAAAGCTCCATAAAGGATCTTCCAAAGATTCCCTTTAGTAAATCTTATCTAGTCTCTTATAATGTGCAAGGTACTACTAGGAATACAAACACCAGTGGGACACAGTCCCTAGGCCCTCAGGGGGCCTAGAGTTTTATGTAGGAAGGGGTTAAACAAGTATAGAAATGGCAATGGGAAGCTGAATAAGATGTTGGTAATACTCAGGACATTTAGGTGTCAAAGGGGCTTCAAAAGAAGGTATGATTAGATCTTATTGGGCACTCACTAGCTTCAAATTCTAAGAAACTGCAGGCCAGTGGATATAAGCAAGATCAATTTCAAAATTTTGTTTCCTCTGTAGTCCTACTTGGAAAACAGAATCATTTATTCAATGATTTGTGGAGTAGCTTCTATTCTTTGGACCCAACAGTGGACCGAGCTTCCAACAACACTGTTCAGTAGCTTGGCATCAGGAAGTTCTGCCTTGTCTTCAATGGGACAGCTACCTACTTCTGGGGGACGGGGACCATACTGAAGCTTAACACAATATCCTAAAATCAGAATCCTGTTCATGTCTCTGGCAGTAACACAATTCAGAGTAAAACACTAATTTACGTTAAGTAGAGCACAGACAGCTATACTGACACCAAAAATTCATGCTTCCCTCCTTTGGTGTACAGAGTTGCCACTGGAAAACAGCTGCCTAGACAAGGACTCCGTTTCCTGGGCCCCCCCAGCCTCCAGGTGGGGCCATGGGGTTAGTATGCACTGTTTCCAGGGCTCAAGAGCTAAAGCAATGTGTGTCCCTCCTCCAAACTCTTCCCTCTTCTCATCAGAGGCTGAGGATTCCTGGTCTCTGATCCTTGACTCACTGCAGGCCCACCAACCAGGAGCACTAGCACTGGGAAGTCATGTGACTGAGAAGCAAACTTCTATTACGTCAAGCCCTGGAGATCTGCAGCTTGTTACTACAGCTAGCATTACCTGGTAACTGAACCAGCGAGCCCAAGCCCAGCATCTAACAGGAAAAAGACGGAGGAAGCTAGGTTGATAATAAAACCACAAAGTATCACTGCTATGACATCGGGTAAGAAAAGATCTAAGTACACACTGTTTAAAAAAAAAAATAGTATCAGTTCCTTTTCACTCTGGATTATCAAATTTGAATCACTTGTGACAAGAAAGTTTGCCCACTGATTCTCCCGGCTGTACAACAGCTCTTGTCTGTGTTCTCCCATCAAAAGTGAGTACATTTCTGAGACTACAAATTCACCACTATGTTAACCTGAACAAAATAAACAAAGTAAGATAAACTGGTCGCCAAAAATATTTTCACATCCCAAGGAACTGATTTCTGAATTAAAGAACTGGTCGCTACCGTTGGCATAAGTAGATTAAAGCGACACGTTCAGGACACAAACAGCAACAGAGAATTCCCATGTGGCTGTGAGGATGCTCACCTGAGGCTGGGGCTGTCCCAGTGCAGTCACCGAGCTGAGTTTTCAGTGGAGGCACAATGATGGTGCGGGTGCCGGTGCCATCCCCCGCGACTCTGCCGGGCCCCTCCACCAGGGGTCCACTGTTGCCCCGGAGAGCACTCAGGGTATCAGTGGAATATGGGCTGCTCAAGGAAGAGTCAGAGTCTGGAGAATCATTGACAGTGACATAACTGATGACGTTAGACCTTGCCTTCAGGCCAGAGCTGAGGAGAAGAAAATAGGTGAAAATTCAGCCCACTTTTAGCAATGTTTCTTTGATGATCATTGTTCCTCCCAGGACGATAATGGCAACAGAGTAAGACGAGCAGCAGCAGACTTCTGAGCTCTTATTCTGCATCAGGCACTATTCTTACCCTCCACATAGGTCTCACTAAAACCTCACAACACTTCTATGAAGTAGTTACTATAACCCCCATTTTGCAGATGAGGAAGCTGAAGCAGAGAGAGATTAAGACACTCAGCCAAGGTCACACAAGTGGTAAGCGGTGAAGACAGGATTCAAGCTGGCACAGAATGCTGCCAGATACACAGCTCTAACAACTCTTCTACATTGCTGCTCGGCCATTTCCACTCACGGTTATTTCCATAGTATTCTCTGTATCATCCTGCTAAACTATATTAATGATTCCTTGGTATGTCTAAACAAACTTCTCACCATATTTTTTTTTAAATGTTCCTTCATAAACTGAACTCCACCTTCTTAACTTTAATTTTTCCTCATTTTTTAGAGAGACTTGGATCTAGTCAAAGAAATCCTGCTGGTTACACATTTTTTGCCACTCCATAGTCATTTTTCCTCACTGGAAAGTTTACCTTTTCTCTTCCCCAAATCAGTTCAGAAACCACTTTCAATGCTTAGTTTCAAGTCTACATCCCATTTGTAAATACCATTTTGTAACTGTTAATATCATTTGTAAATACCTCTTTTGAGGTACTTCATTCTAAATCTGCTCTTTCAGGTCATTAAACTTCATTCATATGTAACTCTGCAAAGTCTTCTCAGTTACTGTCGTGTGTGAACCCCACCTCCCCAGGTAAACGCGGTGTTATTCCCTCTTCTTTATGCCTAGCACTAAAGGCCCAATAAAGCACACGACACAGAACAATCGAAGCAACTGACTATGTTCCCACTAAGAGAGGTGTATGTAACAGTTCTTCGAGGTATACACTCTCTCTTGGTTAACTGCCCAGTTAAGAACTTGGATTAAGGTGCTGAAATAAGAGGAAATTATCTGGTACTGACATTCCTCAACTTTCAGACCACAAAGCAGAAGGAGAAAGAAAGAAAGTAGCCCAACTTCAAGTTGCACCTCTTCCAAAGTGGCCTTAGTAGATTAAGAATTTACAAATAACCTCCTATCTATTGACTTTTCCAATTAACTGTTGTTTATGTGCTCTGCTATGGCATCTGTTTTCAGACCCTAAAGGTCCTTAAAGGCAGGGAATCATGTCCATGGTATAATGTGCATTCCAAGCCAAAGCAGCTAAATATTAAGCAACTTAATATTCCCCTTCCAGCTAATGTATCTGAAAAGACGGATTTAACATGATGCTCAGTCATGGAAACTGGAGTGTTCTGACTCACACATCCAGGGCCACACTTCCAAAATACCAATTTTTAGTCCTTCCTTTCATAGCCCAAACTGGACCACTTGTCTGAAACCAAGGGTCTAAGACTAAGGGTAGGAGCCACTGGGTCAGGGAGCCATTCACCTATCTTACCTATTGGGCTTATACTTGTTGTCCTCTTCCTCATCGGTGTCACTGCGGATGGTGATGACACTCACAGGAGGGCTGGGAGTATCTGGAATGATGATGGGCTGATGCTGATCTGGGACAGGGACTAGGGAATTATAAGAAGATGTGGTACGGAGAGGACTGCTCCCAACAAGAGAATAGACTTGAGAAGGCAGAACATCTAGAGAAGACCTGTAGAAAAAGGCCACAAGAAACACCGTTCAGTCCCTGGCCCCCCAAATTGATCCACCTTTTCCCCAGAACTCTTTCCAACTTGTTCTCTGACTCCTTTTCACCTAATCATTAATTCAATACACTTGATTATAGAAGTTCCAATAAAAACTACACAAACTGCTCTAAAAGAGGGTTTCCATCAGGGCCAAGAACCCTAAAATACAATGTAAATTTTATTTTTGTATGCCCTTTATTCCATAGTTAAATTTCCCAATGTAACATGGACAGAAAAATAAAAACATTGGCATAAAACAGGGCCTCCAAAGGGGCACGTGCACCCGAATGTTTATAGCAGCAATGTCCACAATAGCCAAACTATGGAAAAAACCTAGATGTCCATCAACTGATGAATGGATAAAGAAGATGTGGTATATATATATACAATGGAATACTATGCAGCCATCAAAAGAAATGAAATCTTGCCATTTGCAATGATGTGGATGGAACTAGAGGGTATTATGCTGAGTGAAATAAGTCAATCGGAGAAAGACAACTATCATATGATCTCCCTGATATGAGAAAGTGGAGAGGCAACATGGGGGGTTTGGGGGGTAGGAAAAGAATAAATGAAACAAGATGGGATCGGGAGGGAGACAAACCATAAGTGACTCTTAATGTCACAAAACAAACTGAGGGGGGTTAGGGGGAGGGGGGGAGGGAGAGGGCGGTGGGGTTATGGACACTGGGGAAGGTATGTGCTATGGTGAGTGCTGTGAAGTGTGTAAACCTGGTGATTCACAGACCTGTGCCCCTGGGGCTAATAGTACATTATATGTTTATTAAAAAAAAAAAAGTCATATAAAAAGGAAAAAAAAAGAGGGCCTGGATTCAAAGTGGCAGCAGAGAGAAAGGATGTGCATGAGAAGGACACACCTGGTATGCATGCCCAAGTGAAAAGGTTATCTCTTCCTCAATTTGGCAGCTACTCGCTGCTTCTCACCAAAAAGATCTCTACCACAGCCCTTTAAATGCTGGCGACATCTCTCTCAAAAATGGCACTTTTAACTACCAACTCTAACAAAGACTTACTTAGAAGAGACTGGAGCAGATTGCTTATTCTTCTTAGAAGGGAGAGAACTGGATTGTGGTTGTCTGACAACATGGGCAACACCAACATTCAGGGGCTGAGCAGTGGCCAGCGTCACGTGGTTAGTCAGCAAGGAGGGCTGCTGCATGATAGTGCTGTACTGGTTGCCATGAGAGTGGGCATTCCTGCACCAATAGAAAGACACAGAGAAGACTGAATGCCTAAACCACTGGGAAATTAGGTCCAGATAGGTATTAAAAGCAATTAAGACAACCAAATAGAGCTGCATTTTATTTTTTAAATTGGGCACCTGGATGACAAAGCCTTGGTTTTCATTGCATGGTTTCTAAATGCGTAAGACTTTCAATCTGAAGTAAATGATTCCTGATCTTAGAACCTGTGTTTTCCTATATTCCAAGTTTCTCATTACTCCATCTCCTAGTCCGAAAAGGGTTCTTTTCTTAAAGAATCTGAAACAGAGATACATCTCTCCTTTCCTTTATTTTCTTCCTAGGAGTCTGACCAAATCATTAAGCACTCCTACCCTAAGGGATCTGCCCTTGCAGATCTCCCAGAGAGGAACACAGGGTACTTGCCTCCAGTCTGTGAGCTGCTGGCCACTGCCCATGGCCTCTGGAATCACTGCTGTGGGCTGGACAGAGTTGTGCAGAGCTACCCCAGGCAACTGTTGCCAAGTTGAAGGCAGGAGAATTTGTTGGGTTCCTCCAGGCCAAGCCTGCTGTAAGGAAACACACACAAAAAAGATCCAGACTTGACTCATTCTTGGCTTTTTCTTTTGTTTTTTAGATGAAAGAAAAATTCATATTGTAAAAGAAGTTGCTTGTAGATTGTTAACTTGCAGAGATCAAAAAAGAAAAGTCAGAGGGGCTCAAGGTTACAAGTCTTATGAATAGGGAAAGAGAAGATACTGCTTTCTCTGGGCCACCTCTGTAACATGACCACCAGGGTATTAAAGAAAAGAAGATCCCTGTGGTTAAGAGTTTCTCTATTATACTGTGGAGTCAAAGAGTCTGAAAAGTTCAGAGGTAAGCTCTGGTTAAATGATGGAATATCATTTTTGCAAGGATTCTAAAAATACACCTAGAAAGAGTTAAGACAGCTCCCTTGAGATTAAAAATAGGAATTTTAAAATTTAAGTGCCAATCAGTTAAGACATCAGGTCAATTCAACCCATAAAACAAAGAGGAGAATTATGCCTTTTTAAAAGGGTAGAACTTCGAACATGAAGCCAGATGTGAATGACCAAAGGCCAAAATCCTTTGGCAAACAAGCATATGCCAGAAACAGAAAGCCAACTTCATCGTATACAGCCATATGAGAGAATTAAATAAAGCAGTAAGTAAAATATTTCCAAAATAGATGCAGGGAGCACCATATTTTGTTTTTAATAGTTACCTAAAATATACTGTTTAACATATCATTTATAAAAATATACTTCAACATAAAAACTAATCACTACAAGAAAATACATCATTTCTGGTTTTTAACAAGCACTTGCAATAGACAGCAACAAATATGTTTTCTGAACTTCTTACAGAAATTCTGGCATTTTCTTAAAAAATGGGAACAGATTTGAAAGTTTCCTTTTTAAACTTTAAAATTCCACAGTGCAATCACCTACAATGCTAGGGTACATATGGTTCTTTCTTAAATTTCAAACTGCAAGGCCATCAACACACTGTTTTAAAAATATTTCTGCAAGTAACAGATCCACTTGTTACAAATACCGGTTCCAAACAAGAAGCCTTCAAAGCAGAGAAACTGCAAACACGTCTGCTACCATAAGCAGAATTTAAAACAAAATAAAACAAAACAAAAAATAAGAGAAGTATGTTAAGTCACACCATGCGTCTTTCCATAAGCCAACACCTGCACAAGACAAAGCATGTAGTTTAATACAGAGCAAGAAATAACATTCCAACGTGAGGCAGAAATCTGGCGTTCCAAGCGACGAACTGTTTTGACAGAGGAAGAACAAAAATATGCAAAGCTTAGCAAATGACTAGTGCAAACTTAAGAGAAGCAGCAAAGGAGAGTATCAACTAACATTCTCAAAACTATAGGTGAGCAAGTTAGAACCAGTGGCCTAGATCAATCAAATTGGAAATATATCTGACTCCCTTGCACTCATGATATAATTAATCTGGAGGTGACAAAGGCTTTTAAACTAAAAACCAAACAAATTCCAACAACCAAAGTATGTTTCTGGAAGTGTTTACACTCACATAGAGTCCTTGAGAAACAACAAAGGAAATTTAAAAGCCCCTTCACAAAAGATGCAGATAATCAGTATTCAGTAGTATCAATAAGATTTTCAAATGCTTACCTAGCTTTAAATTTCAAATAAGGAAATGCTGGATGTCCAATAAACAATTCTAACTCCCCCGGATAAACCAAAATACATCAAAAGACCACTCTGAAGGGTACAAATCCTGAAATACACCTTGAGGTCCTACTCATTTTTCCTATCTCTAAGCCCCATACTACTGCATTTGCTGCTGCATTTAGTGACTTTTCCCCAGGACTTTTAGTCACAAAGGTATTGTATTAGCATAAGGGTTTTCAGCCATATTTTCATCTCTATATAAAGACCTCTTTGTAAAGTCATTAATTTCTCCATAAACCCCTAAAAATGAGTTTATATTTAATCTCAACCAACAAATGAAATATGATCTAAAAAAATTCTATAGGGAATATCTTTAAATGGAAGATAGCAGCTGCCACTGAACATGAGTGGCAAAGAGAGTTATCTTCATACGTTCATAGAAGAAAAGTTAACATCAACTGATAAAGCAATAAATTAGGAGCATCTTAAACATTTCTACACACACAAAAATTTTAGAAGCTTAAAATAGCAAATAAAGAAGGAAGCTAACTTGCCAAGGAGTTCAAATTTTGGCCATCCGGATACCTGCAGCAAAGCCAAACTAAAGGCCATTTCCTTTATTCTCAAGGATCAGAGGGTAAAAGAGCAAAAAACAGATACAGTGTTGAAGCTCTTCTGAGGCTACACCAAGAGCTTTTATCACACTAGGCTGGCAAAGAAGAATAAAGGGATCTGGTTCCTTACAGAGCCACTCTGAATATCAGAATCAAACACTGCTTCAGCAAATGTTGGGGAAGAAAACAATGAGACATTAAAGATGTAGCAAGAACACAGCCACAAGATGGCACATGCTTCCATGCCCTCTGCAAAGACTAAGTTAATTTTTTTTTTTTTTTTAATGAGAAAACCAGAAGAAAACAGAACAAAAACAAGCAGGAAAAAATAAAAAAGAAAGAAACCAAAGAAACTCCGTTAGTAACACAATCAAGTGAGGGGAATTACCAGTACAGCGGCAGTCTGTTCAACCAGCGCCGGCCGGCCGGCTGCGCAGCTCAGAGTAAAGGGCACCGCATACTGCGGTGCGATGGTGGCTACTTGAGGGTGGAGAGTTGCTACCATTAGTGGTGTACAGCTTCCCTGCAACGTAGATCAGGCAGGTGAGTGAAACAGACACGGAGGCAGGTTATCTGGATTCAGAAGGGCTCTCATTCCCCCCAAGATATTACCAACAAGCAGTCATTTCGTATCACCTAAATGCACGTACAAACACAACTTGCCCCTTCAACTCTGCACAGCATCAGCCTACTAGGTCAAACGTCAAGGGCCTAAAGCAATCAAGTACAGGAATCCTTCTTGGGCCAGATTCAGAGGATCGGTTCTACAAAACTCAGGTAACAAAGGCATGTATTAATAATTCCTCTTCTTCCTACTCCCAAGAGAAGAGTTTTTGAACTTCCAAATTTCTTCTGTGTCATGGGACACAAATATTTACACACAGAATTGAAAATACAGTATCTGTTGCTTATGTAAGTCTTTCATGATGTTCTTGCCCATCTTAGTTGCATGTCCCATGGCAGGTAGAAAATTTTAAGGCTTCCTATAGCTTAAACACACAGAGTGAAGGAATGTAACACTTGAAGAGGCATCCTGATCTGATGCAGCCTCTCTGCCATGATGTCATTCTGAAAGAGTGAGCAAAGGGGCCGCTGAAGGGAACAAAAGGGCAACACTTTATCTTTAGAATCAAAATGTTACTCCATGTGTATAAAAAATTAACTACATCCCACAAAGTCGGAGTGAATTTACTCAAAACACAGTTTCTCAGGGTCAGGGTATTTATCCCTGTAAGTCTAAGGAAGACACTGTCAGAGTTGCAATAGTGTTAGGAATAAGGAATCATTCCTCTAGAGCTGTCTCCTTTTAAGTCCACTGAATCAAAACCAAGAAAGATCTGACAGTCAAAGCAAATACCATCCTCGAGGACAAACACTGAGTATCCGAGCTGCCGTGGCTGTTACCTGCGTCAGCACTCCCGATTGGATCTGCAGCGGCTGCGCGGCTGGCGCCTGGGGTACAATCGGCACGGCGTTATCCATCCTCACAGGGAATCCAGAGTGTTTTGTTGTTGCTTGTAGTCCAGCTGCAGAAAACACCACCACTGTTAAAGTGCTGGGCGAGGTCTGCGCTTTGTTTGGGGCTTTCTTGTTTTTAGCTTTTCTGTTCAAATCATCCACCACCCAGGTTAGTACTAAACACGTAAGACAAAGGAGTTTCATAGAAGTCTAGGGGGCTAAGAAAAGGGAGACTGGTTTGGCTCTTTCAGGTTAAATTCATGGGAAGATGTTTGATACAAAAAGGGATGGTTTAAGGGAATTACAAAAAAATTTTTTTTGTCCTACAACACTTAAAACTAACACCCATCCCATTCCCATTAACAGCACATGCAAAAGCAAACAAACAAAAAATCTACACTTATTAGGTTACATTCACCTTTTAATCCATTCGGGGGGAAAATTTGGATATTTTACATGTAATCTATTAAAAGTGAAGACAAAATAATTCTTAACTTTTGGTTAGTTGTGACTCTAAGTTAAGAAAAAAATTATCATTATTTATCATCTAAGTTACCCTTTGAGAATATTTTAAGATGTTTTACCCTACTCCTCAAAAAATTCACAAATTAGTTATACATTCTATCTTTAACTAGTATATGAACTGAAGAAATTATAACCCAGGATAAAAATATTTAAAAAGTAGATACTTGGGTTTACAGAAACACTTTTTTTCTACTTATTTTAGGAATCTGCCTTTGCCTTTGACAGCTTTCTATTAAGGCTCTTTTACAACTAATGCATAGCTAAGAAAATCAAGAATTTTTGTTGCCTTGCTCTGGGCACAAATGCTGAATGAATGTTTCCTCCAAACGGGAATTCCTTATTCTGGGGAAAAGAGGGGCTCAGGACAGTTCTCCCTTTAGCCAAGAGTTGAAAAGAGAGACTTCAAAGCTTTCTTTTAAACCTGCCCTATCAAAACTGTCAATGTGGAGAATTTAAGTTTCTATTATCTACTAATAGAAGTTTCTCTAATTCACTAATGCCTACGTTTGGTGAAGTGGGAACACAAACATATTATTTTAATTAGAATACTTCTTCAGTGACACTTTCTAAGCTACCAACGACTAATTTCTCTTAATATTACTATAGAGACACCAAAGAAGCATAACTCCTAAACTCTAATACTGTGGTTTTCAGCAAGCCTTCCAATTTTCCATTTCAGTGATTTACAAGTATTTTAGCAGTAAGATGTCACACTGGAAAACACAATCCAGAAATACATAAAGTAAGAGAGACTAGTAAGATTAGAATTAAAACACCAGAATAATAACTTTTTTAAAAAGTGCTACTTATATAAAAATAAAAGGTAACAAATCCAGATATCCAGATTAGAAAAAAAATCTGCCAGCTGTTCTTCATAAGGCAATGCTATCTAGTAAGATAGCTAAGCAACATCAAAATTCTTGTCTAAATTCCCAGGACATATGGCCAACTACAAGACAACATTACTGTGATAGCCTCCTAGAAATGGGCAGGAACAAAGGGCAAAGGCAGGCAACATTTAGGAAGAAATGTTCATGAAGTTCACCTATAAGTTTCAGGATAATGAAGTAAAAGGGGACAAAATTACAAAATAATAGTCATCACTGAGCAAAATGTGTACCTATTTTGGTCAACTGGAATAGTACAGAAAAAATATTTAGAGTACTAACCTAAAAATGCAACTAAATAACCATCAGATTGCTTTCATAATTTAGGTTAAACCACAGCAGTTAAGCTAGTTTCAAACTTGCTTCTTCAGGAAACTACAAGTGAAAACCAAGAATTAACAAAAGGCAACACTTTAGGAAGGTTCTCCCTGAACCCTGAACTAAGAAATTACTCAAGTTTTGGTTTTTGTTTTGTTTTGTTTTTGTTGAATACAACCCATTAAATAAAAAACCATGGAAGCATAGAAAGAACTATTTAATTGATGAGGGTCAATTTTCCTCTAAGTATAGTAACTTGCAAAAAAGCAGATAGTGAAAGAAAAAGAGGCAACCTGGAATACAGGACTGCTTGGAAAAAACCAGCATATGGCTGGGCTGGCAAACCAAATGACAACCTTTACAGCTGAGTTTAAATGCTAAGAGGAGGTACAGCATATTTCAAAACCCCACTGCCTAGGTTCAAGTCCCAGTTCTAACACTAACTAGTTATTAAGACTTTGGGCAGTTGAAAGAATCAGGTTCAATTTTCTCATCTTTAATGGGACATATTGACATTAGGCATAATGACATTACCTACTTCCTAGGATTGTCTGCTGAGGATGAATTAATACAAGTACAAACAGAACATTATCTGGCGTGTAGTAATACTTACCAGCTATTTTCATCCTTATTACCTTAACTTAAAAACTCCCTTTTGTTTGGAAATTTTATAATTTGCTCTAGCTCCTCAGGTTATTCGGACTTCCTAAATAGAAAAAAATTTCCAAAACTTATACTTACCTAGTTATAGCAAAAGGAGTTACACCACTTTTTCCCTCTATATCTAGTCTACATTTTTTTTTTATTAAGGGAACCAAAAAGTTCTGCCTCGTCTCATAAATACCATCTGAGAAGCAGCAGAAGACTTCAGAGGCTCATATCTGAAAACTGTTCCTGTGAGACTCACTTTGGAAAAGGTGAAGGGGAGGAGGGTGGCTAGTTTGCTAATTTCAGTAGAAAAATCACTCAACATATGACAACCCAAAGTATAGAATTTACTATCATGTAGTATACCAGAAAATTATTTGGAAGTTAGGCTAAATTTGCATTTACGGGTTTGGAATCTGCTCCTCCGCTCTCCCTGTGGTTTCTCCCTGGTTTACATCGCTATCGCTCTCCTGTCCTCCCGGTAATCTCTCAGTCTCCCCTAGCCCCTCTTTTCCTTCTGCTTGCTCCGACTCTGTCAGAAACCAAACAAACAAGAGAGTCACAGTCAATAAGTAACTGAAGTTAAAAGATAAAAATGCTACCTGCTTCTACTATGACAAGACTGAATCCTGGTTTATTACCACGGAGTACAATGACTTTCTGTTGGGAAAGTCAAGTGTGCTATCAGAAAATATCCTTAAATAATTTAACCTTTTAATTGGCTCACCATTATCAATAAACACATTTCCCATATTTCAGGAAAAAAGGAACTGGATGGAATGAATTACAGAACAACAACGAAAAAAATGAGGAAGGATGGGAATGTGAAACTTTAAATCTTATTGCAATGCATGGGGTCAGAGCCTTCAGCTATTCTGTTCCTCTGTTGATAGGAGTTTGCAGGAACAGTATGATTCATAAGCTGAAGCAGATAATCTAAACGTACTCCCCACAAGTACCTCAGCTTGTAGAATTTTTCAGTTCAATAAATAATAATCTTTATTTCTGAACGTAATTCATGAGGTTACATATTCCTAAGCATAATTTTTACATTTTAGGATAAAATTACCTTTTATATGAAATGTTAATTTTATTTAGTAATTGAATGATAAAGGAAGTAAGATTCAATGTAGAATTTCTGTTTACAACAAATTTCTTCAAGCTTAGTATTTCTGCATATTGAGAGATATATTCTTAAACAAGATATAGGACACTGGCACAAGGTCTCAGTGGGCAAGAAATTGGTATCACAGCAGTTCAAATACAAAAAGTTAATTGAACTCCCATAATGTGTCAGACAGTATCAAAATTAAATAAATAACCAATGTAAAAAGGGTAAATCTTCATATTCAGAGATAGAGTTTAAACTTGTCAGAGATCAAAACTGAACAACTAGATACCTACTAAGGGACTGCCTAAAGCAAGATCTGTGGGTCTGATATGATACTATTCGATACAGGAGTTTCCCCACTTACTCTGAAAAGCAGGTGGACATACTATAAATGTTTGTTGGAACGGATCTGTCTGAGTGCAAATTTGGGTGGTTCCAGGCTGCAAGGACACGCCCTGCTGGGCAACTCCAGGAACTGGTGCTGCAGACGATGGATACAAAGCCGACTGGTAGTTTAGCAATGAGACATCTGAATTAGCCAGGGAAAGAGTAGCAGCTGCTGCAGTAGAACTGGAAGCTAGAACACTGGCCTAAAAACAAAAGGATAATAGTTGTATATGGACACAAAGCAGAAATAACAGTATTTTTACACATGCAGAATCTAGCCAGAAAAACTTAAAATTTTAAAATGTAGTATTAACTGTCCCTAAAATAACTCTCTGCTTAGGAAATTTTCCCAGTCTCTAAATTTAAGGCATATTATAAGGTTGAATAGGAAAACACAGAATCAAAAACAGTCCTGTACTAAGGACAGCCTCAGATAAACCCTTATCTCTTCTCTCTGTACAAAAAGTTGCTGGATGTGAGGTACCACCAAATCTCATTTTAAAAGTAGACCTAGCTAAGAAATGAGGAAGCTCACATCTTCAATAACAAATATAAATATCACTGTTTGGCAAACAAATGCAAAATCATTCTTAAAGTTAATTATTGGAAACCCCAAACTGAACTCATAGAAACACTGAGTAGACTGGCAGTTGCCAGGGACAGGGCAGCAGGTGGGAGAGAAAGTGGGTGGAGGAAATCAAAGGCAAACTGTAAACCTGCAGTTACAAGATGAATGAGTTCTGAGGATCTAATGTACAGTAGAGAAAAAAATTACTGGAAACACCCTTCAACACATGTAATGAGAAATATAAAATCTTTCTAACAGAAAGTCAGTGGCTAAAGTCAGTACAACTAACAGCAGTAAGTAGTACAATAGCTATGGTCCACTTATGAAACTAGGTGAAAACTATATTGTATTTAGTTTTTGGCGACACATTACTGGTAAGTGTCATGTCCACCTGGTCTTCCATCACTTTCGCCATGCAGGAAATTCGTTCAGAAATAACAAGATCACCAAAGCAAAGACTGGTTTCTTTATCTCAACCTGTACTCTTAACTAGTTCCTTCCCCTCTTAGGTTCGAATTTCCAAAATCATTTACTGAATACCTGATTGTGCACTGTATTAAGCTGGTTGCTGAAGCTCATGGTTAGATTTGTGCTTGTATTTGGGGCAACGTGAGTAGTGAAGGGACTCTTGATCTGACTCACTGTATCATACATGTGAACCCTCCGCTTGCAGATCTCCATGTTCTGAAAACAGGACTTAACACTGAAAAGAAAGATTAAAGATTCAGTAAAATGTATGCTAAGATTTAAAAAGATAACAAAAACTCAAGATGAATACGGATCAAAATTTTAACCCAAGTATATTTAGATAAAATGAATCAAGAGTTTTTATAACCGTAAAGAGAAAAAACAGACATCTTATTTTTAATCTCATGATTTTTCAATGAGAAAGGAAAGCATCAGTGAGCCAAATATGCAAACACCAAGGCTGCTGCTCACGTGATCGCTCTGTTTAACTGTAAGATGGTAACAACACAGGACCACATCATGGTAAGTGCCCCAGACCATACTCACTGATTGCTATGTGGAAAATCCAGAAGGTGGGTCATTGTCACAAACTGATGGTTAAGAGTTTTCAGAGGAGTAATTCTCTTATCTGCATCAATTGTTAGCATTTTTTTTAACAGATCAATATATTCTCTTCGATCCGCCTTCTCTGCCAACATATCTGTTCCCTCCAAGTCTGTGGACATATTTACCTTACGGGAAAAATTCAGAAATATCACACTTCATCATTTAACCTTTAATGTTGATACTAAGCATATGCATAATACATACATAGATCAATAAACAGATAGAGATCTCAAGAGAAAAACCTGAGGAAATTCATTTTATTACAGAAAAATCATTTTCACAAGTGGAAACTCTTCTTACACTAAATAAAATCTTCAATTTGGTAGACTGTGTTGGTAGAATAAAGCTGAATGAATCTTTTCATTAAAAATTTGGACAAACAAATGAAAGCAATTATTATTACTTAAAAATTCCCATTATTGAAAAGATTAAATGACATAATAAATATGAAATGTTTAAACAGAATTAGGAACACAATATGCACTCAACTAATGTTAGCTCTTATGTATTTATTTAGCAGAGAAAATGGACAGTAAAGAAATCTTCAAAAACAGTATTTCAAAATACTGACAGGCAAAAAGATTAGTTAAGCAAAAGCAAGGGAGAACACGTAATTCTAAAAGTATCTTGGTTAGGATTCAAATGTTCTTTAAATACATGGCAGAATATTAATGAACTTTTATCTCTAAAAAATGAAAATGTACTAGAAGATAACAGATTGAATCTATCTTTAATATAATTAATCAATGGAAGTATGTCTCTGATTAAGAGATATGGAAATATTTGGCTTCCTGAAACTTTCTATACTCACCTGAGCCATGTCATCTAAACAATTAAAAATGTACTTTCGAGCTTCTTTTGATTTGATTCCAGTCTCCAATTCATGTTCTTCTGGTGTCTATAAAATACAGATTAAAAAAAAAAATTCCATCTGTACGTTATTTTCACATTTTGTTCAAATTAAAGCCAAAATACAAAGAAACAGGAGTCGTCACCTTGCCAATCAGAGATGGCAAACATGAAAGTAATTTACAGCCGGAAAATCTTCTAGCGTATGAATGGGACCTGGATATCTGACTACTCTTTTAATACTGCTAAATTAAATGTGGAAACAATGATATAGCACAGTTCCTGAAGGATGCCATATAAGAGGGTCATTACCATATTTCTCTTAAAGCTACTTTCAAAGGAAATGATATTTCAAATCCTAACTATTAAACAGGCTCAGGGACAGAGATTCACAAAGTTACTCAAATTAGTTTGAGATCTCTCAAGTTAAAGGAGTAGATTCAGAAGTAAAAAGCAGGCATTTATTTCATGAAAATATATAAGGCCTTAACATGGTGAGTTAGAAAATTATGTTGTTTTCTCATATTTACTCAGAATTCTCTAAAAAACAGTCATAGCTAAGTTATTCTCGTTCTTCCTGTGATTTAATGGTGAACACTGTTTTTCATACCCTCTTCTCAGCTGCTGGTTCAAATATACAAAACAACCTCAGACAACTGAAAGGTGTTTAGTTTATTTATTTGTTTTTAAGTTAAGGATCAGGTCAAATGGGTACAATGAGATAATTTTTCTAAGTACTTCTTCCTGCAAACATACATTGCCACCACCACCATCCCCTTTCCCGCCTCCACCTCAAGAACTTAGTAACTAAAAAGCTGGGAGTAAGGAGTGCAGGAATGGGTAGTATAGTAGGGGAGACAGACCTTAAGCCTCCACAGCGGATACCCCAAATTAGGATCTCTGTTGAAAAACCTCGTTGTTTTTGTCCCAGCACTGAGAAGATATTCGGCGGGCAGGCCTTGTGTTTGTGAAATGTAACGAATCTGAAACATTAAAACATTGATTTGGAGTGGAAAGAGAAAATATTAAAAACTTCTACACTAAGACATTATTAGCTCTAGCCAAATCAATACAAATAAAACGTATCTGTAAATACATACATATGCAAACCCACTCACAGGTGATTCCCAAATATTTATACAGTTATTTCTGTGTTACTGTATCTGCCATTTACAAGGAAAACTCAGTTTTGAAAATTTTGTGTATAAACATTTTTGCTTTTCTGTAGACCTCTGATACAAGTTCAGAAAACTTCAGGTGATTTTTAGGACAGAACAGAATAATTTCCAACAAACTATCTCATGGATCACAAGGGTTTTTCCATTTCATTTGTTGATATATTTTCAAATTGAAAAGATCAGGAAAACATTTTTATAAACTTCTTTCTTCCTTGGTTACTCTAGCTCCCTACTCTAAATTGCCATAGAGCTTCTCTCTCATACCATAAAATTAAATACTAATTCAGTTTCTCTATCCCTACATCACTAGGGGGCAGGCAGTGTGTTCATTCAACCAACATTTACTAAGCACCCACTATGAACTAACCTAACAGCTCTCAAAGTCTGGTCTGGGGAGCCTTGGGGGTCCCCAAGATCCTTTCAGGGAGTCCACAAACCAAAACTATTTTTAAAATAATACTCAGAAGTTATCTGCCTTTTTCATTCCCTTATGGGTATACAATAGAGATTTCCAGAGAGGATGTGTGATGATGTCATTGCTCTGATGGCTAATAAAATATGTGCTTGTATATAGTTGTGTTTTAAAAATTTTCCAGTTTTATTGTTCAATATTTGTTTGCTTCCACAATTCCAAAGACCCAAGAAAGCAACAGAAGAGATGATTTGCTTTTCTCTCCACTACTGAGAGTGATAAAAGAGGTAATTTTTTTTAACCACCTTTATTTATCTTTATTTAAGATAAAATTAGAGAGAAACTTGTAAGCCAGGAAATAAATCTTACTTCCCATCTCTCCCCCTAAAAACCTTTTTTTAAGTTATTTTTTATTATTTTCTAAAAGATTTTATTTCTTTATTTATTTACTTTTTTTTTTTTTTTTTTGAGAGCGAGAGTGTGTGTTTAAGCCAGAGTAGGGGTAGAGGACAAACGGGGAGAGACAGAATCTCAAGCAGATGCCGTGCTAAATGTGGAGCCTGAAGCAGGGCTCTATCTCATGACCCCTAGATGACAACCTGAGCCAAAATCAGGAGTCCCATGCTTAACCGACAACTACCCAGGTAGCTTCTAATTAGAAGTTTTCTAATGCAGTATATACTAACAGATATAATCTATACAGACAGACTTCTTTGGGATCCTCACCAATTTTTTAACAGTGTAAAGCAGAGGTCAGCAAACTATGGCCTATAGGCCAAATCTGGCCTGCTTTCATGAGACAAAGATTTTATTTTTATTTATTTATTTGACAGAGAGAGATCACAAGTAGGCAGAGAGGCAGGCAGAGAGAGAGGGGGAAGCAGGCTCCCTGCTGAGCAGAGAGCCTGATACAGGCCTCGATCCCAGGATCCTGGGATCATGACCTGAGTTGAAGGCAGAGGCTTAATTAGCCCACTGAGCCACCCAGGTTCCCCTAGATAAGCATATTTTAAATATGAACTTCTTTTGCGTACAAAAATGGTGAAATATTTTTTAAAATCCAGAATAAAATTTGTGCAATAAAATACTACTCAGACATTTAAAACAATAGAAGAAGGGCAACTGGGTGGCTCTGACAGTTAGGCACTGGACTCTTGATTTTGGCTCAGGTCATGACCTCAGGGTCTTGAGATCGAGTCCTAGGTCAGGACTAGATGCACTAGGCATAGAGCCTGCTTAAGATTCTCTCTTCCTATCTCTCTGCCCCTCCCCACCCTGCTTGCTCACATGTGCATGCTCACACTCTCAAAATAAATAAATGACAGAAGTTTAATTCTTGACACATAAAGATATTTCACAGTATACCAAGTAGAAAAACAAGATTACAAATTAAATAATCTCACTTTAAAAAAAATTACATTTCACTGATTCTAAGAGGCATATTTTTTCACACTAACATCTTTGAAATCAAGGTATGTCTCACAACTGATAACTGTCATGATTTAACTGGCAGCATTCTTTCTTACAGGTACGGAAAAATGGTGTATCTTTCAGTCAGTAGTGTCTTAAATATGACCAGTATATATGCTCCTCTATATCCCTAAGTTTATCATGTGGAATAGAACTATATATAGCACATATATTCATTCATTCTTTTAGGAAGTGCTTATTGAGCGAGGCACTGGTGATTTTAAAAATAGATACGGTTCCTGCTCTCATAAACCCTGCAGTCAAGTGAGGGAGACAGACACTGAATATTCAAACTGAATTGGCATTCTGAAAAAAAGAAACAAGCTTCTATAAAAATGCATAGCAAAGGAACCCAAGCTAGACTGGGGACTGGTAAGGAAAAGCTCCTTGAGAAAGCAACGCTTGAGCTAATAAATGAGTAGGCACTGACTAGATGAAATGAATGGGTGGTACAGAAGCATTCCAGACTATGAGAACAGTACGTACAAGGGGCCTTTGCTGGAAGGATGCATATTCTTAACCAGTGCTGAAATGATGCCAATAGTGCTAGAGCACTTTTCGAAAAGCAAGAAGAAATGGTCTAAGATCAAACAGAGGGAAAGAGAAAGGGGAAGGACAACCTATGTAGGGGCTCAGAGGCCATATTAAGAATTTAGCCCTTCATTTCAAAAGTATTTTAAAAACCACTGAAGAACAGGGAAGTGGCATGATCAATTTGTGTTTTGTAAAAATCACTCTGTAAAAAAACTGGAGATCTATGTATATAATTGGAGATTATGTATATAATTTATATATTATGTAGAAAAGTATCATATAATTATTTACTTAGTGTCTGTTTCCCATCACCAAACTATAGCCTCCATGAGGGCAAGTATAATGTTTTATGCAGCATTATATCCCCATTGTCTAAGGTAGGTACTCAATAAGTACATGATGAAAATTAACAAATTATACACATAAATAAATACAAAATATGCCAAATCATAAAGGGTCACCTCTGAAGGGTGAAACTACTAAAGGTTAAAAGTTTTATCTCTTGGTTTACTGCATCTTTTCTAATTTTTCTATAATGATGAACTTAAAGAATTAAGACATTTAAAAATTTTAATATTACAGAATGAGTTTCATTGTGAAAGTAGAATGGGAAGCTATCATCCAGATACTGCTTTTCACATAGCTTACAATACAGCAAAAACAAAAGTCCTGCATTTACGCAAAGCATTATTGTCATTTGTTATATTAAACAAAATGTTTTCAACAAATCTGAAGCTATTAACTAATATTTCAAGAATCACAAATACCTGCTATAATATCTGCTATAATATTCATGAAAAACCTTTAGCTGATATCATATTTAACAGTGAAATACTGAATTATTTTCCCCCTAAAATCTGGAACAAGACAAGGATTTCTGCTCTTATACTTCTATTCAACACTGTTACTATTGCTTTAATACAAAGCAATTAGGCAAGAAAAAAAAAAGGAATTCAAACTGGAAAGGAAGATGTAAAACCATTTTTTTTTGTAGATGACTTGATCTTCTAGTTAGAAAACTGTAAGGATTCCATTAAAACAATGAGAACTAGAGTTCTATCAGAAAACTACTCGAGGGGGGCGCCTGGGTGGATCAGTTGGTTAAGCAACTGCCTTTGGCTCAGGTCATGATCCCGGAGTCCCAGCATCGAGGGCCACATCGGGCTCCCTACTCAGCGAAGTGTCTGCTTCTCCCTCTGACCCTCTCCCTTCTCATTCTCTCAATCTGCTCTCAAATTTAAAAAGAAGAAGAAGAAGGAGGAGGAGGAGGAGGAGGAGAAAAGAAAACTACTAGAGGGGCACCAGGATGGCTAGTCAGTAGAGTATGCAACTCTTTATCATGAGTCCAAGTCCAATGAATTCAACCCCCACACTGGGAATACAGATTACTTAATAAAAATAATAAAGTAAAAGAACCTTAAAAAAAAAAAAGAAGAAAACTACTAGAAAAGAGTTCAACAAGTTTGAAGAATAAAAGATCAATTACAAAACTCATTGTATTTCTATACATTAGCAGTGAATAACCTGAAAATAAAATTAAGAAAATAATTCCATTTACCACCACATCAAAAAAAAAAAATAGAATACTTAGAAATAAATTTAATAAGAGAGATGTAAAACGTGTACTCTGAATATTACAAAATGTTGCTAAAGAAAACCTAAAAAATCTGGTCACATTTATGGGATCAGAAGACAATATTGTTAAGATGGTGATACCTCCCAGAGAGTCAATGGACTTGACTTTTTAAACAAAACAACCAATAATTATTTTGTAGAAATTAAAAAATACCTAAAATTCACATGGAATCTCAAGGTCCCTTGAATAGCCAAAACAATCTTGAAAAAGAAAAAAGTTAAGGGGTGCCTGGGGGGCTCAGTGGGTTAAACCTCTGCCTTATGCTTAGGCCATGATCTCAGGGCATCGGGCTCTCTGCTCAGCAGGGAGCCTGCTTTCCCCCTCTCTCTCTGCCTGCCTATCTGCCTACTTGTGATCTCTCTCTCTCTCTCTGTCAAATAAATAAATAAAGTCTTTAAAAAAAAAAAGAAAAGAAAAAGTTAGAGGACTCACACTTCCATGTTTCAAAACTGACCACAAAACTACAGTAATCAAAACAGTGTAATACTGGATAAACACAGATATATAGATCAATGGAACAGAACTTAAGCGTCCACAAATAAATCACTGTTACTTAGGATCAATTGATTTTTTTTCTTTAAGATTTTATTTATTTGACAGAGATCACAAGTAGGCTCTCTGCTCCACAGGGAGCCTGCTTCCTCCCCTCTCTCTGCCTGACTCTCTGCCTACTTGTGATCTCTTTTTCTGTCAAATAAATAAATAAAATCTTTAAAAATAATAATAATAATAATAAAAAACAACCCAATTCAAAAATGGGCAATGGACTTGAGTAGACTTTTCTAAAGATTGATTGACTGTTTGATTGATTGATTTTTAGGGTGCTGTTGGGGAGAGATTCCTGAGTGCAGTGGGGGGAAGAGGAGAGGGAGAGGGAGAATCTCAAGCAGATTCCTCACTGAGCACAGACCCTGACTTGGGCTTTATCTAATGACCTAAAGATCATGACCTGAGCCAAAATCAAAAGTTGGACGCTCAACTGACTGAGCCACTCATGCACACCTTGAGTAGACTTCTCTAAAGAAGATATACAGATATCTAGTAAGCACATAAAATGATGCTCAACATCACTAGTTGTTAGAGAAATGGAAATCAAAATCACAATGAGATTATCACTTCACATGCATAAGGATGGCTGCTATTTTTTAAAAAAAGAAAGAAAATAACTAGTGTTGGCAAGGATATAGAGAAATTGGAACTCTTGTGTATTGCTGGTAGGAATGTAAAATGATGTGACCACTGTGAAAAAGTTTGTTTAAACATAAAATTACCATATGACCCAACAATTCTACTTCTAGCTATATACCCCCAAAAATTTAAAACAGGAACTTAAACACTTGTATGTCAATGTTCATAGCACCATTTTTCACAATAGCCAAAAGATGGTAACTCAGTGTCCATCAACACATGAATGGACAAACAAAATGTGGTATACTTATATACAATGCAACATTATTCAGCCATAAAAAGTAATGACATTCTGGTAACAGGCTACAGCATGGATGAAAAACATGTTAAGTAAAAGAAGTCCATCTCAGAAAACCACACATGGTATGTGATAAATATGATCAACTACAATAGGCGACTCTATAGAGACAGAAAGTAGATTAGTGGTTGCCAGGGGGGTGGGGGAAGCAGAGGTTAGGGGAGAAAGGGCATTGACAGCTAATTAAGTATAGGGTTTCATTACAGAGGGATGAAAATGTTCTAAAACTGACCATGGTTATGGTTTACAGCCCTGTGAATGTGCTAAAAATCAGGGAGTTGTACACTTTAAATGGCTGAACTATATGGTATATGAATTGTATCTCAATATAAGTTGTTTTAAAGAAACTTAACTATAAGAATAGAAATCCTGCAATAGAAATCTTTTTGTATAACCAGAGATGCACAAGGATAACCCATCCCCATCCTGCTCTACAAAAGCAGTATCCTATTTATTCAGCATGGGAAAAACGACTTCCTCCTACCACCCACAGTTTCACATCTATGCACTAGGCAAAAATTCTCTCAAAACTATCAGATCATTTCTTTATTTAAAAAAAAAAAAAAACAGTTGTACCTCAGCTTCTAAACCTAATTTCATTTGGCTCTACTTCCTAGGAAAATTAAGAGTACCAATCTGTTTACAAAGGTTGAAGGTTGGCCTAGGAATGGCACTTGGGAGGCTGTAACTGCTCAGAACAAGGTTTCTTAATTGGGAATCATGAATCCCCTAAATCTGAACTCAAAATACTGTACATAAATTTTTCTAAGAATATCCACACACCTATCTTTCATCAGATTCCCATAAGGGTCTAAGACCCAAAAAGGAGAATCAATGGCTTAGTTCAACCAACTGTGTTTTTGCATCATTTATCTCCCTCACACTTTGTCACTGTAAAATAAGAAAGCTGGCTTCTCTCTCACAAGGTAGAAGAATTACAAAGCTCAAGGTAACCAGTTACTTATCACATGAGCAACTCATTTTTTGTTTCAATCAAAGACATGCCCAAAGAGTCAAATTTTTAGAAGGTGGCTCTAAAATGAATCAAGGAATCAAAAATTCTAAGTTGAATAGGGGAAAATACTGTTTTACTCTTTTTTCCTATTAATAATTCCAGAGAACCATTTATTTCTTTAAAAACAAAAACCAATAATCCTCATGTACCTACTATGTGTCAGACATAATGTCAGGAGCTGAGGACACACTAGTGGAATCAGTCTAAGCCCTTAAAGAGCTTATAGTATAGTAATAAAAGGAGAAAACCCTTTTTTTTTTAAAAAGAACAAGAAATAAGAATTCATGGCATAATACATGTAATACATCCATGGCAAATAATACAATATATACACAATACATAATATACATAATACAGTAATACATCCATGGCAAAACCTTTTCCCTCAGGACTAGCTCCTTGGGAAACTAGAACATCTTGTAAAGCTTCTCTGTTTTGAGACACAGACCATCTTCTATACAATACTTTCCAATTCATATGATTTCCCTCCTTAATCCTATTTTACAGAAATCCAGTATACATTACAGCTTCCGGGGCCCAATGTGTTTCAGTATGTAGAGAGTACTTATTTCAGCATATGTCATGTATAAAAGGAAGTAACAGCTCTAAATGAGACAAAGTTCACTCTTAAAATTCCAATTCCTCATCCTTCTTTATTTTCGTATCTTAAAAACTCACAAGACACATTTGTTAACCAAAACCAGTCTCTAATAAATCATGACAGATCCGGAAAAGTACCAATCTAAGGTAATATGAAATAAAAAACTTAAAATTCTGAATTGCAAACATGATACCAGACTGAGAAACAGGTAGAGAAAATTCTAGTCTTCAAAAGAATCCTTTCTAATTGGACTACTCTTTCCCTAATATCTAAATACTTCACTAGTAAGTACTTCCTCTAGAATCTATTTCACTAGTAAATACTTGCGTTCTATTTCCATCCAAATATACACTCTTACCTGATCATATTCTGAAGCACCAGGATAAAGAGGCCATCCCAGGAACAGCTCAGCTATCACACAGCCCAATGACCACATATCAATAGCTTCACAAAACGGTAATCCAAGAATAATTTCAGGGGCTCTAGCAAAAACAAAAATAGCAAATTAAAAAACAAATATTATTTGGGGAATTAACTATGTTGACTAAGCCCTGTTTTAGTACCAGCTCAAGGTACATATTGATTTAAAGAAACTGAAAACTATCTTTGATATAAAAATCCATCATTTGAAACTTCTGGGGCCAGATGTGTTGTGGAATTGAAAGTTTTTTTGAATTTCAGAAAGGTATCACCATACATAAAACTACATATTGCATAGTAATCCCAATGGAGTTTAGGGAAGCACCCCAAAACCAAACACATTAGTATTTCCACAATGAAATAATTGAACAGTCATACTAAGTTGGCTAAATAAAGACTTAAATTGCCTTACATTAGTTCAAGACAGAGTTTGCCAATAAATGAGCTTATGCCAAACTTAAAGTTTTTTAATTTTGAAATCTGAATTTTGAAATCACAGATAAGGGATCACAAATTTATTCTTTTTATTCTTAGCAGCTTTTTAATTATAGAAAAAAATTAAGTGACCTGATCAATAAATATCCCTTGATAACAGAAATGCCTTCTGTAGAGACATCGTGGTTGAAAGCACTATAGAAATATTCACTTCCATTAATGCTCCAAGTGAGAAACCAAACCCTATGGAGCCTTGAAGAGAAGACTAAGATAACACCATAAACTAAAAGCTTTATATATATATGAACATACCTAAGATAAAATCATTACCCACTTGGGTGCCTGGGTGGCTCAGTGGTTTAAGCCTCTGCCTTCGGCTCAGGTTATGATCCCAGGGTCCTGGGATCGAGTCCCACATCGGGCTCTCTGCTCAGCAGGGAGCCTGCTTCTCCCCCCTCTCTCTGTCTGTCTCTCTATCTACTTGTGATCTCTCTGTCAAATAAATAAATAAAATCTTAAAAAAAAAAAAATCACTGCCCACTTACAGAGGAAACTGAGGCAAACAGAGTAAGTAATTTGCCCAAAATTACAGTTAATAAGTGGAAGGGCTAGAATTTGAACCCTGGCAATCTGGGCCCAGAGTTGTATTGTACTGTCTCCAAAAAAGTAAAATCTATTTGGCATGGTAGTATACATGGCAGTTTTTAAACCGTGACTAAAATTATGAGATAAATGGGTTTAAAAGGGGGATGATAATAACAGGTTATTACTAATATCGATAATAATAAAAGATGACACTCATATAGCGCTTACTCCATGCTGCTCACTGTTATAAGTTCTTTACAAATGTGGTCACTTACTCCTTACAACAATCCTATGAAAATAGATACTACTACTGTTAAGTCATCAATTCTTTTTTTTTTTTTTTTTAAAGTAGATTCCATGCCCTGCATGGAGCCCAGCATGAGGCTTGAACTCACAACCCTGAGATCAAGAGTCAGATGCTTAACCAACTGAGCCACCCAGGTGCCCCAAGTCATCAATTCTAAGGTGCATGATTTTTTTTCATATTTTAACATCTCTAAAATCAAGAAAATTCTTGCAAACGATGAGTATTTTAGCTTAATGGCAGTGCTTTTACCTTCTTATTGGTACATAAATGTTTCAACCTCTAATCAATGGTATCTTAGATGCTACGTAATAAAGGATCCTTTCCATTTTACAGATGAAGAAACTGGGCACTGAGAAGTTAAGTAACTCACCCAAGGCCACACAATTACTAACTGATGGGGCACAGGCAATCTGAATCTAAGAGCTGAGCTCATAAACATTTTATCATCATCTCCAGACAATTTCCTTCCTTCTTACAAGTCATAGAATTAGAATCTGTAAGGGCACACCAAATCCAGACCCCTTGGCAGATCTGTCTCCACAAGGAGCCCTCTAACAGACTGTGTCCCCTCATGGTGTGCCTAGGTTTCTCCAACTTTTAAGTATTATGTGCACGCTGCTGCTCTGGGGCAGGGAGGACTAAGCGGGGGCTATATAAAGGATATTTCCTTAAATAAGAATATCCTCCCCGAAGTAATTTTCTAAGTAAGTAGCCCTTAGAAAATAAGGTAAATTAGAGGACTTCACAGTATCCAAAGGCTTTCCTGATCCTAGAACAGGAACAGCAGAAGACTGATCCAGGCATGCTAAGACTTCACTATTTGACAGCTATCTGTGGAAAGACTAATATCACCAGTTTTTATACTAATTGATGTGAACTGTGGTTTTGTTAGCCAAAGAAACAAACTTCAAAAGGGATATTCCTGTTGCAGGTGGCTAGAGCGACATATTACTGATGAAATTTCAGAGTTTAATTAAATCCCAACCACGGTAGCATGTTTTTAAGATGGCACAAGTTTAAGAGCATTAATAAACTAGAGCATAAGAGTATCCAGAAACATAAAATCTTTTCTAAAATTGAAAAGGGACAAAATTTTTACTTTCAGTGAGCAGAATCATTAATTTCCAAGTTCATGACAGTGCCAAAAATAGCTGGCAGGGAGCGCGCAAATGGCTTTGTGCCAAAATAAAAACTGGGCTTAGAACATTCCTAAGCATCAATTGAAGAGCAGCAGATTGATTTTTGCCATTCCCACTATTCCAGGAAGACATTTTAAAATCCAAAGGTAGGTCATAGGGAGGGGCAGGCCACCCAATAACTTATTTCTTTAGAAAGGTAGCAAAAATATGTGATAACTATTAGGCTTCCAAAGCTTAAAGTTTCAGGGAAATTAAGAAAAGCATTAATTCCAGCCCCCAAGTCCCATTAGACAAAAAAATCCCCTGAAGACTGGCTGGAATCAGTTTTTCCATTTGGTCTCACTCTGCTTCCGGAGTAACAAAAGCAGCTAAGGATTTCCAGCAAAAACTCACTTAAAACAGTAACTCTACCACATCTACCATATAAAAAGGTAAGTATCAAAGAAAAAAAAAAGTAAAAATAAAATAAGGTTGCTCAGTCTGAGGGATTTTCATTATCATTAGAAACTAGAAATACTGTCTGACCTAAACTCTAGGAAGCAAAAAGACTGAGATTATTTTCTTTTACTGAACAGAACAGAACATTTAAAGCAGGTTCACCTCTAAAGACTGAATGTTTTAAACTCTGAATTCAGATTATAATTCTTGGTGCTATCTTCCTTACTGTATCATCTTTCCCCTTGCCCTCCAATATTTCTCAGTCCTTCAACATAAACTCTCAACACTAAAATTCTGCTTCTACTTCATCTGTTAGGGAGGCTGAGTGAAGTTAATTACTCTTCTAGGTCCCACTCTAGCTCTGACATTCTAACAACTGAACATTTAAAAAGATAACCTATAGAAACACATGGAAGAGAGGGAAAAAAACCAAACTGGCGGTATTCACTTTTGTAGGAAAATGGCATTAACTGTACTTTGGACTTAGTGGGTCTCCTCTTTGAAAATACATCCCACCCTTAAAGAACAAATACTAAGCAGGCTGTAATGACTAAAACCAGGTGGCAGAAATAGCAATTCTTGCCTTTTGATTTTCCAACTTCAAATTTCTTTAAACTAAAAAAACCCTCCAAAGCCATAAAGCATTATTTCACTAGAACATGGAGTAAGTTGTGGTTAGGATCACTTAACAGCACAAATTAAACCCTGCTCATTATCATGAATACTCATTTCTTCCTGCCCATCTCAGAGGCATCAAACTTACTTACCATATCAGAAATATTACATAAAGCCTAACTTCCTGCATCTGTGGCTTAGGTGAAACTGTTTATTTGTCTATGTTAAACTGAAAATATTCTTTCCTTCTCTAGCCCTTGTCCTTCCATACCATATATAACAAATACAGTGATCTCAACTTTAATAAAGCCAGTTAATTTGTTCAGAATGGAAAAGCACTAAGCTTGTAAACACGGCAAACCCTTGTGCCTAAACTCAAGCCCCAAAGACAGCAACTTCTTTGGAAGTAGTCTGCAAACACATTTATAGCGTCCAGGAAATAAAGTATACTATTTCCATTGGCTAAGGCATTTAGCCAAGCCGATGGCCAACAGAGAAGTATGGTGCCAAAAATTTATGTCAACTGATAATATTTTGGCATGTAATCAGGAAGATGAAGCAATGTAAACTAAAAAGGGAGGTAAGAGGAACTCTGGCTTTGGAGCCAGGATGCTTCACTGGCCAAAGAGATTTCACAGAGGTTTTCTGAAAGACATCAGGGTGAGGACTTAACAGTCTCTAAAAGCAACGCAAAGAAGACCACTGTGGATAAAATTAATGGTAAAGAAGGAATGCCTGAGGGGCGCCTGGGTGGCTCAGTGGGTTAAGCCGCTGCCTTCGGCTCAGGTCATGATCTCAGGGTCCTGGGATCGAGCCCCGCATCAGGCTCTCTGCTCAGCAGGGAGCCTGCTTCCTCCTCTCTCTCTCTCTCTCTCTGCCTGCCTCTCTGTTTAACTTGTGATCTCTGTCAAATAAATAAATAAAATCTTAAAAAAAAAAAAAAAAAAAAAGAAGGAATGCCTGAGCTGCTATTCCATTGGCCTGAGGTTCATTACCAAGTATTACTGTGACATAAGAACATATTCATGTTAAATTCCAAGTGGAAAAAAAAATCCTAAATGCAGTTAAGCCCTGGACACTGAACTTCAGTATGCACAGTAATTACTCAGTAATATGCAGAAAGAACTCCTGTTTTTAAGGGGTAAACTGAGCTCCAGTCACAATTACTCCTCTAGTTGAGAACTAAATGCAATGGATCTGCAGGATGACTTGTTGAAGAGTAATTACCAGTGGACTTAAAAATCTGAAAATCGTATTTCCTATAAAAACAAAACATAATCGAATTACTCAAATGACAGCTGAAATTAAATCAAAAGGATAGGGTGCTTGGGTGGCTCAGTCAGTTAAGCATCTGCCTTTGGCTTAGGTCATGATCTCAGTGTCCTACGGTCAAGCCCCATGAGCCCCATGTTGAGCTCTCTGCTTGGCAGGGAGTCTGCTTCTCCTTCTCACTCTTCCTATGTGTTCTCCCCTTCTCTCAAATAAATAAAATCTTTTAAAAAAATTAATCAAGGGGCACCTGGGTGGCTCAGTCAGTTAAGCATTTGCCTTCATCCTGGGATCCAGCCCCACATCTGGCTTCCTGCTCAACAGGGAGTCTGCTTCTCTCTCCCTCTCCCCGCAGCTCATGTTCTCTCTCTCTCTCTCTCAAATAAATTAAAAAAAAAAAATAAATCTTAAAAAAAAAAGTACATCAAAAGGATAGGAAAAGGGGCAAAGACCAGCAACCTAACACTGAAAATTATTCAAATGAATTACTTATTAGAGAAAGCTAAGCAGCCAAAACTATTTACTCTTCAAATCTCCTTTACCCTTTAAGAGAAAATTCCATCAAAATTATTTCACAAAATAATTCTTACTTCTATTGCTTTTTCAATCTTAACATTGGCTTCCATTACCACAGACAAGGCAACCAGTTAAAGAACACCTGCAGGCTTTGACTGGAGAAGAGATCAAGAAGCAAGAGCTGATCAGCCTCCACACCCTTCAGCAGTGCCCTTCCTCCTACCTCCCCAATGCTCCAAAGGAGATGCAGAACTGAGCTCTTAAGTGCACCTGTAGAGTGTTTCTGTATATATACCTGAGTGGGTGGTGGTGGGATTGCTCAAAAGAGAATACTAAAAGAAAAAGTAATCAGAACCTAAATCTTCCAAGTCGTGAATAACTAAATGGAGGTGAGAGTTGCAAAAATAGCCAAACTGCCTAGAGCATAATGAAATGAGAAACCAAGGCCGTAGGAATCTCTTTACTCTATCTCACTCAAGAAATAATCAGAGTTTTACAAAACTATAAAAGGAAAAGATAAAAATAGAGAAGAATGGATTGGAAGACATAATGCTGTGAAGATGTCATTACTACCCAAAGTGATTTACAGATTCAGTGCAATCCCTTCAAAAACCAATGATGTTTCTTGTAGAAATAGAAGAATCCATCCTAAAACTCATATGGAATCTCAAGAGACTCCAAATAGCCAAAACTTGATTTAAAATTTTTAAAACTTACTACCAAGCTACCGGTAATCAAGACTGTGTGGTACTGGCATAAAGACAGACATACAGACCAACAGAATAAAGAAGAGAGCCAAGAAATAAACCCCTGTATTTGTGATCAATGAATTACGACAAATGTCAAGACCTTTCAATAGAGAAAAGATAGTCTTTTAAGCAAATGGTGCTAGGAAAACTGAATATTCACAGGCAAAAGAATGAAACCGAATCCCTAACTTACACCATATACAAAAATTAACTTAAAAATAGACCAAAGACTCAAGTATAAGAGCTATCTATGTCTGTATTCTTACATTCTTTTAAATAAGAGCTAAAAACTATATAACTCTTAGAGGAAAACAAATGGGAAAAAGTTTCATGACATCAGTTTGACAATGATTTCTTAGAATACCAAAAGTATAAGCAACAAAAAACACCAACTGAACTTCAATAAAATTTAAAACTTCTGTGCAAATACCACTGACAAAATAAATAGGCAACCCCATGGAAATGAGCGAATACATTCGCAAATCAACTATCTGCAGAGGGATTAATACTTAGAATATATAAAGAACTCTTACAACTCAACCAAAAAAAAAAAAATCTAATTCAAAAATGGACAAAGGACTTGAACAGACATTTCCCCAAAGATGCACAGATGTGCAATAAATGAAAAGATGGTCGGGGCACCTGGGTGGCTCAGTCATTAAGCGTCTGCCTTCAGCTCAGGTCATAATCCCAGGGTCCTGGGATCAAGCTCTGCATCAGGCTCCCAGCTCCACAGGAAGCCTGCTTCTCCCTTTCCCACTCCCCCTACTTATGTTCCCATTCTCTCTGTCAAATAAATAAATAAATAAAACCTTAAAAAAATAATAAAATAAATAAGTGAAAAGATTCTCAGCATCATTAGTCATTAGGGAAATGTAAATCAAAACCACATGAATACCATTTCATACACATAAGAATGGCTATTATCCCCCCGACTTCAAAAAAGAAAGAAAGGGGGAAAAAAGCTGTTGATGAGGAGGTGGAGAAACTGGAATCTTTATGCATTACTAGTGGAAAATAGTTTGGTGGTTCCTCAAAAAGTTAAACATAGAATTACCATATGATCCAGTTCTTTTTGGCTATATACTTTTGGCTATATACCCACCAAAAGAATGGAAAACAGGGACTTAAACTCGAATGCTAATGTTCTTTGTAGCATTATACATAATAGCCAAAAATCTGGAAACCCAAGAGAATGGATAAACAAAATCTAGTACATACATGCAGTGGAATATTATTTAGTCATGAAAAGGAATGAAATTCTGATACATTTTATAGTATGGCTTAACCTTGGAAACATTATGCTAAGTGAAATAAACCAGACACAAAGGGACAAATATCAAATACTGTATAATTCCACTTACATGCAGTATCTAGATAGGCAAATTCATAGGGATAGAAAGTCAAATAGAGGATACCAAGGGTAGGGGAAAGGTGGGAGTTAATACTCAATGGTCACAGAGCTTCTGTTTTGGGTGATAAAAAAAAATTTAGTAGTGGTGATGGTTACACAACACGGTGAATGTCCTTAATGACACTGAATGGTTCATTTAAAAATCGTTAAAATGGTAAACTTCATGTTAGGCAGATTTTACACAATTAGGAAAAAAATATGTAGATGGCATCTCTTCTGAGCCTTGTACAGATTAAAATATCCTATTATTTTCACACAATATAAAAATTCTAAGCTCAGACTTTCTATTTACTCAAAAGTTAATATAGGCATTTGACAGATTATCTCTTGATAAACATATCTCCTGATAAACACATGTGGATTACCTATTTTTTTTGTTTATTGTTTCACTTCTTGATTGGGTGAGTGGGCAATCGTATTTAATGATCATTAAAATTAAGTATCAGATTCCTTAAAATTTATAACTAGACAAATAGATAAATAAATGAGGTACTGAGGAAATAAAAGCTCATTTAAGAAGACTTCCCCCTTTTCTTTCAGTAAATCTTCTTGGTTATAGCAGACAACAGACAACATTGTATATACCGACATTTAAGAGCTGTCCTAATAATCATTATATACTAAAAAGGCAGCTTTGTTAGACATATCTATCTGGAAATATAAATCACTAAAGTATAAGGCACTTAGGTCAAGGACATTCTAGGATAACCAAATAAGGTCATAAACCGAATAAGTTCGAACTATTATGGAGATGTTAAAACAGGAAGTGTCCTTAGCAATCATCAGATCCAATTCTATTACAAAAGAAAGAAAACGTCAAAGAATGAAATGTTGCTAGAGTTAAACCTGGAATTATTCCCAAGGCATCTTACCTGCCAAAAAAGGTACTTGAAAAATGTAGCAGCATATGCCCAAATTCATTACAAGTAAGTAAACATCTTTATATTTTAAAAGACTCTTTAAAATGGGAAAACTAGGTATAATGGTACTAAAGAAGGAACCAGATGCTAGTATAATTCAACTAGGAACAACCTTCAGAATCGGACTGAATTAGATTTTCTAGTGTTAAATAATAACTTCAGAAATAAGACAATATTACATATAGGAATGCCAGACAAGAAATGAAGTAAAACATATTATCCTATTCTACTTTGGAATCTGTAAATAAACTCATTGTTTGTTATATGTGACTCTATGTAATATATGTTAAGTACAGAGACAGATCTCTAGTCTAAGATATGCTTTTTAGCATTTGCCACTTGCCTGTAGTAACGTGACTGTAAGTAGGTTGAGCACACAGCTTTGGAAACATGACTAGCAGAACCAAAGTCAATGACCTTCACTCGGTAGGGTTGGCGCACTGGATCGACCAGCATTATGTTTTCAGGCTTAAGGTCAGCGTGAATCAGACCAAGGCTCTTGAGCTTCATCAGGGCTGTGGCCACCTGCTGCAAGATTGGTCTGATGTACTTGAGTGGCAGTGGGCTAAACTTGTTCTGCTTTAGAAAATCATACAAGTTCTGCTCCAGCATCTCAAACACAAGGCAGGTGTGATTCTTATGCTGAAAGCACTCATAAGAACGAACAAAATTATACTCATCAGCATTTTCACTGCTTAGGCGAGAGAGGATGCTCACTTCAATCTGTCCTTGTCTGGCATAGGAGGGGTGATTCTTCAAGATTTTAATAGCCACAATTTCCTTCGTGCTCCGCTTCCAGCACTTAGCCACCTGTCCAAATGTTCCCCGGCCTAGGAACTCCAACACTTCATAGCTATTGGTCATAGAGCAAAGGATCTCATGCTGGACCAGCTGGTAGTCCCCTTCTCCACTGGAACTGCTACTCTTTGTGGTCACAGTGGTGGTCGTGGCAGCAGCACCCACCACAGTCCTGTTTTGCAGCATGAGAGGGGGATGTTCTTCTATGATTTGCACGCTACCGTTGCTGTCAACTTCCTCACTTTTTCTTTTCAATCCACATTTTTGATATGGCTCAAGCAAAGAAACGTTGTTTCTGTGAGTCAGGGTCTGGCTGCTTTGGAAGGTTGATGGAGCAGCACTGGCCGAGCTATCAGCAGCTGTTACAACAATATGCTCCACTGCAGGAGCTGGGAGGAGGAGGCCCTGGTCGTAGGCAGGGATGTTGAAATTTGCTACCTGGTGAGAGGAGTTGGCTTGCCCTTGTGTGGCTGGGAGGGTTTTGCTGTGGGTATAATATTTGTCGTTGCTGCTCTGTCCAGAAACATCCCAGCCAGAGGGCTCTATTTTCAGTTTCTTCGCACTGCAGAAGGCACTCGACGACACTGATGGGGGGGAAAACACCTGCAGCTGTGATGCCATACCTACGTTGAGAGAGAGGAAGAATTAGACCCTCAATTTACACAACCCCTCAATTAACAGAGCAGAAGACTTTTAGTTTAGAAAAACCACAAGTAAAGTATAACTACCTGCCTGGGGTTTTATTTTATACATTTTCCAAAACACATTTCCTATTACAGAAGGATCAATTTTTTGGTCAATCTCACACTCTTAATCACTCTTCAAGACTCAGCAACAGGTGGTCATATTGTTAAAAGAGCATGAACATCTATGACGGTTTATAAAATAATAACCATAATAATAATAATGGCTTAGAAGACTGATCACTTACTATGTGTCAAGTAGTTTTCTAAGCACTTCACATACATTACTCTGTTAATTGTCACCACAACTCTTTGGAAGAGATACTATCATTATTTACACTTTACAGATGAGGAAACTAAGATACAGAGTGGATAAAGTAACTTGCCCAAAACAGCAGAGCTATTAAGTAGCAGCACCAAGCTCTTTGGCCCAAGAGCTCATTCCACAGCTCTGTGTTCACTCCTGCCCCGATGAGCCTTTTGATCAACTATTTAAATTGAGCCATAGAAGGCACACTTACAAAATTTAGAGAGGAATCAAATTTGGGCGCATACTCAATATTTGCTAAGTATCAGGTCCAAAAAGACCACAATAGGGTAGAAACTATAAGACAAAACTAGCAGATGAAATTTAACACAAATAGAGAATCCTACATAGTGCAAAATATGACTAGCACAAAGCAGGAGGATAAGAAATACAAGGTTTAGTGGGAGCACATGTATATGAAAGACACTTTCAGTTGGTAAGAGAAACATATAATAATGTTCCCCCCAACACACACATACCAAAAGCTAATTCAATCTTAAACTACATTCATAGAAATAGTGTCCAGAATGTACTGGACAAAGTGGATGCTATCTACTCTGTTCAGTTAACTATTTTAATAGTGTCTAGCTCTGTCCACTATAATGTAAGGGGCCCACAGATAAAATGACCAGAAAACAAGATGGTGAGAAGCCTATCGAGAGGATCTTCTGAAGAACCACAGGAAGTTATTCTTAGAAAAACATGGAGAAAGGGAGTAAAACAGCCCAATTTTCTGTCCTGGAATATCCCATAAACACCTCAAGCTCAATAAACCCCAAGACTTCCAAAGCTAATACTTTCAGAAAAAAGTTGAAACAACTGACAGAACAAGCCATTCCTATTTATCTTCCCCTTCTCAATCATATAACCCTCAGATGCTGTGGGGCTCTATATTAATTCTTCTCTTGTCCATACTTTCCCTCTTCTCAATAACTACTTCCCAGGATTAGTCATCTGCAAAAGAGTCTCAAATCTTTATTTCTAACCCAGACTTCTCTCTCCTCAACTCCAAATTCTTACTTCCAAATAAAATTCCACACTGTAATTTGGGTATCCTGCAGACATCCCAAATTTAACAAGTCCAAAATTAATCTTATGAGCCTCCACCCAACCCCTAGTCTTCTAACTCAATTATGACACTACATCTTAAGCCAAAAATCAGAGAGGCAATGAGTCTCAGTTTCCTCATCTATAAATTGGTGATAATACTTAACTCATGGGATAATTCTGAAAATTAAATTGTTTAATACATGTACAGTTTCAGTGCCTGGAATTCATTTAGTATTATTATCCTGAAACCTCCTCCTCCCTTATTACTCCACCTCTAATCTATAACCAAATCTTACCAATTCTACCTCCTAAGTATATTTCAAAATCAGCCATTTTTTTCCTACCCCTTTTGGGACCATTCTAGTTCAAATAGCCAATAGCCTCCAAACTAATCCTGAATGCACTCTGGGGATCTTTGTTTTTAAACTATGCAAATCAGATGACTGCTCTTTCTTTCTTAACCACCTTCCTCCCCCTGCCTTCAGGGTTTTCCACTGCTTTGTGGATAAAGTCCAAAATCCTCAATCTGCCTTAAAACGCTCTCCAAAAATCTGGTTGTTGTCTTCCAGAATCTCCTCACCTTAATTCCTCCATTCCAGCCATATCGCCCATACTGCCCTTTTCAGTTCTTGGAAGGCCCTCTAATATGGTGAAGATTTTCTTCTGCGAAAACCATTCATTCACACACACACACACACACACACACACACACACCCCTCACACACATACACCCCACAACTACCACCCATCCCCCACCCACCATGCACTCCCATAGCATCCTGTTCCTCCCTTACAACTCAAAATTATTTACTTAATGTTACTCACATTTCCAGCTACAGTGTTAATTCCATGATAGGTGCCATACAGGTCTTGTTCTTTGCTTATAGCATCAGAAACTACTGCACAAACCCTGGCAATATTCAGACATGCAGTATTTATTGGATGATTTCGACCCCTGCCTACCAACCTCGTATCTACTCCCTACCACTCATATTAAACTTCAGGATTTTCAAATGCTTGGTTTTATTTTTCAAATATCCCTCCCTTTTCTCTGTGCATCTTTGAGATATAGAGGGAGTCTCCACTCCACTACACATAGTTTAATTTTACTAGTCATAAGAGAATAAACACACACAAGAAAGGAAGGAAGCATGACAAAGGATGTTACAGAACATAAAAAAGCAATGTGTACATTTCTTTGTGCCTGAATGCAACTAAAAACCATCTGCACTGGACTAGACAGCTGGAACGAAGAACAAATCCTCAGCCTTCGATTTCTAAAACGTGGCCTGGATTTACTTTAAACAAGAGTTTTCATAATTTATATGAATCCTGAAGAGAAAAAAAAGTGTAAATTAAAAGCTAAAGCCAGTGCAATTTAAGTCCAAGGCTACGAATTTACTTGTTCTGCCTATATCACTGACATAATGCCAAATTAAAATAAAAGAAAGGGGTGCCTGGGTGGCTCAGTCATTAAGCATCTGCCTTCGGCTCAGGTCACGATCCCGGGCTCCTGGTTTGGAGTCCTGGGATCCAGCTCGCATGGAGCTCCCTGCTCCGCGGGAAGGCTGTTTTCCCTCTCCCACTCCCCCTGCTTGTGTTACCTCTCTCGCTGTGTCTCTCTCTGTCAAAAAAATAAATAAAATCTTTTTTAAAAAAGAAGTGAAAAGAAAAATCTGAAACCAAGCAATACCTTTACAAAATTTACCTATTAAAATATATGCAAAAAAACTTCTCACCTATTATAAAACTGAGCCAATTTTTAAACAATGAAAGGAAGCAAATTTTTGAAATTTGTTTTCCATTGCATATCTGTTGAGCTATTAATTTTAACAACCTATCAATAAACAGGAGCACAACCTTTATGTGCCTAAAAGTATTTGATAAAAGAATTGAATACAAAATGTGCAGTTTGTAGCTATATCTAGGAATATGAAAGTTTAAAAAGTTAATAAATCTAAAAAGAATTCATGAAGTATAATACCAAATTTTTAAAAAATATGTTCATAACTAGACACTTTAAAATACTGCATTTACCAGAGTAATGTTATGGACAACTTTTCACCCAATAAATAACAGATACAGATGGTTTCAAGTCTTCAGTGAGCACTGCAAAATGTGTAAGTTCTAGGAATTTTTCTAAAAGCTTAAGGATATAAATGGACGTAATTCTTATTCAGTATGACAAACTTTTAAGTCTATCCATAGGGAAAGAACAACCCAGAATTTGACTGGCTTTCCCCACAGTAAGGGTGTGTGGTACTTAAGTCAGTACAATGCCAGTGTGGCTGGGACTCACCCTGACCTCAACAAGCACAAGGTGAGAAGAAAATACAAAATCAAACCTGCCTGGAAAAATAAACACTCTTGGGACACCTGGGGGGCTCACTTGGTTAAGGATCTGCCCCCAGGTCATGATCTCAGGGTCCTGGGATTGAGTTCCATGTCAGGATCCTTACTCAGTGGGCAGTTGCTCCCTCTCCTTTTGCCCCTCCCCGCTACTCATGTTCTCTCTCTCTAATAATAAATAAAATCTTTAAAAAAAGAAAAAGAAAAATCAACACTCTTATCTATATGACATCCTGAAATTCAGCTAAAAGCAGTCATTCTTAGACATAAGATAGAGATACTATGTTTCAGAAAACCGCCTTTGCAAAATGCTGGAAAAAATTTTCTTCCTAGGGTGAGGCCTCCCCAACAAAAATATGGAACAGAATTAACATCTGCAGAAAACTTACTATGTATCAGACTCTGTTAAGTTACAAATATTACCAATTCGCAGGAGAGCAGTGCCCAATAAATTACTTGGGATTTCCTAAAAATGTTGCACCTCTTAACTCTAGTAATAAATGTCTTTTCATTTCAAATCTGATTTCCAAGGATTTAACTATCTAAGTATATTGACAAATTTGGCCACTGTATTCAACTATCTAAGTATATTGACAAATTTGGCCACTGTATTCATGGGGAACTAGAACTAACAGGCAAAGGGTTACTAGCATTTGTACTTATTGCTAAAGAGAACTGAGTATTGCTAGAACCTACCGCTTTCAAAAACAGTCAAATTAAAGGCTTCCCTACTCCCTGCCATGCTCACATCTACTGAACATTTACAGGGTGCCCCACATTATGGGCACTACAGGTAGCTAATATTACTACAAAGGATTCAAATATTATAACTATGAAAGGAGAAGTGAGTTATGACAACCAAGGTAATCATTTGTCAGTGTTCTGCCCTTCCTTCCCAGGTAACTTATATCTTCCACACCAATAATAAACTCCTACTGCTTTTGCTTAGCATCATCTTTGCCTCTTTGATACAATTTAACAATTGGTGACCCAAATAACCTAAAATCAGTACTGTAAATTTATTGCTTCCTCTGGCACTTGTCCTCAGCTGACATGTACACAGATATACATCTTCTCTAGCACGATGATATATAAAGAATATTCCTATCATTAAGGTAGGTAAATAAGAAAACACATTCTATAAAAATAAAGCAAGGAGTAGTGTTGGGAAGAAAACTCCTTCACCGTAACACCATCTATCTCTCCACTCCACTCATTTTTCTCCACCCCTGCT